AGGCATACTTCTTAGACTTGACACCAAGAGCATAAAAAGATAAATTGAACTTGATCAAAATAAGAAACTTATGCTCTGTGAAAGAGCTTCCAGGAGGATGGAAAGACCAGCTACAGCCTAGGATGAAATATTTGCAAACCACTTGTCTGACAAAGGGCTGATCTCTAGAGCAAACAACTCTCAAAACTCAGCAGTAAATAAACAATCCAATTAGAAAGTGGGTAAAAAATACAACAGATATTTTACCAAAGAGGAGATATAGGAGGGCAAATAAGCATATGATTATTTAGATGTTCAATATTGTTAGTCATCAGGGAAATGCAAATTAAAACCACAATGAGGTATCACTCCATACCTATCAGAATGGCTAAATAGCCTGGCCGGGCGTGGCTCAGCAGTTGAGCGTCGACCTAGGATCCAGGTGATCGGGGTTCGCTTCCCGGTCAGGGCACATGCCCGGGTTGCGGGCTCGATCCCCAGTCTGGGGCGTGCAGGAGGCGGCCAATCAGTGACTCTCATCATTGATGTTTTTCTCTCTCTCTCCCTCCCTCTCCTTTCCTCTCTCTGAAATCAATAAAGATATATTAAAAAAAAAAAAAGAATGGCTCAATAAAAAATAGCAACACCACCAAATGCTGATGAGGATGTGGAGAAACTGGATCTCTCACCCATTGCTGGTGGGAATGGAAAATGGTGCAGCCACTCTGGAGCACAGTTTGACAGTATTTTATAAAACTAAACACATACTTGCCATATGGCCTAGTAATCACATTTTTAGGCATTTGTCCCACAGAAATGAAAACTTATGACCGCATGAAAACCTGTGCATGAATGTCCATGGCAGCTTTATTTGTAATAACCAAAACCTGCAGATACCCTTCTGCGGATAAAAGGCTATGCAAACTAATCCATCTCTAAACAAACACCCGGGCCATGGAAAGGTATGCAGCACCAACACCAAATGAACTGCTGATACATGCTGCCACTTGGATGACCTTGGGGACACTGTGCTGAGTGCAAAAAGCCAGTTTCAGCAGGTCATGTGCTGTATGCTTCCATGCCAATAACTTTCCCGAACTGTCGGAACTATAGATTAGAACAGGTTAGTGGTTTTGAGGGGATAGGGTGAGATAGGAGGGTGGGTGTGTCTAAAGGGGCAGTGGGAGGCCACTGTTAGGTGGCAATGGAACTGTACACAGATCTGCACATGATGTCAGATGCATAGAACAACACATGACACACATTTGTGCATGCAGAAACTGGTGAAATCTGAAAGAGGCAGTATTCCAATGTCACTTTCCTATTTTTGATATTGTACTACAGGTTATAGGATGTCACCACTGGGGACACAGGACTTGATATGCTTCCTCTCTAACTTCCTGTTGATCTATAATTATTTCAAAACATATCAGTCATGGTTCAACTAGAGAAGCAGAACCAGTAGGAGGGAGAGGGAGAGAGGGAGAGAGGCAGACAGAGTAATACAGCACCTCTATGAGGGATTTATCACACAGGATTGGCTTACACAGTGTGGGGGTAGCCAAGGACATCTGAAGGCTGTAGGGCAGGTGGCAGGAGCTGTTTGGAGTCTTCAAGACCAGGGAAAGCCTAAACCTTTCAAGGTTTCATCTGATCAGGCCAGGCTCACCTAGCATTATAGTAAACCCTCGATTTTTCTGACCTCAATTTAATGGACTTCGGATGTAAGGGACAAAATTTCCAGTCTATATATCATGTGAAAATTAACACCCTGTTAATTTTAAAAATGCTTTTAACCAAGATTTACTTATAATTAAATTAACAGGTTATTTTTTTTGTTATTAATTCACTGTTATTTTTAACAAATTTTAGCGAATAGGCCATATGTTAGGAAAAAACACTAGTAATTTCATCAACATAAATAAATATTACATATCTACAACTATAGTCTACATATTTAAATCCAAGAATCACTGCTCGGAAACAATGTTCAGCAAATGATTAGCACGTGATCACACCACATCGAGCGAGGTAATTGGTTCTGTTGTCACTTTCTGCAGCAGCCGATGTTGCCATGTGCTATAAGCCATGCTCCAGCCATGTGCTTTTGTTTACTCTTGGTGACTGGTGAATGCACACATTTATTAGAGTTATTCAGTATAAATTTAAAATTACTGTAATACATGTAGAAAATTTATCTATGAAATTTAACTTTTCATACTTGCTTAATTTTAATTACACAAACGTTTCTACGTAAGTAAAAACAGGTAAACTACCTAATTTGTCAATTTTTTAACCCGCACAGTTGGAAAACCTATTTTATTACATAATGAACTTTTGGCTTTAATGGACATCCTCTTGCCCAAATTAGTCCGTTATATCGAGGTTTCACTGTATCTTTTGAATAACTTCAACAAATTACAACTTTAATCATATCCTCAAAATCCCTTCACAGCAGCACCCAGATTAGTGTCTGATTGATTGACTGGGGACTGTAATTCTAGTTAAGTCAAGAAACTTAGTGTGACAATTTTTCCATATCAACCCTTAGATAACTACTTTATTCTTCTTAATGTGATATGGATGCTCCATAATTTTGAAAAATGAAATATTCTTTTGTACAATTTGAGGTTGACATAAATTGCGTTAGTTGAAAGGTTGTAATTTCTGGCATATTGTAATATTGATATTTAAAAACAAAACTGATTCATTCTTTAAATATTTTAATCTGAAACCATCATTCATTTTTTAAAATCCTATGAATAGGCTTTTGACAGCCAAATTTTACCTTGTTCCTTTGCTTTTTCTGTCACAAAATTTTGTCCTGTCATTCAGGCTGTCACACTCCCCAGTAACAGAAATATGGATGGAAAAGGAAGCTAAATATTTATTTCCTGTAACAGTAAGTCCCCAGGGTTAAAGAAGTTTATAACAATTACTAGTGCACAGTTGAACAAAACAGCATAAATGTGTTACTTTTGTTTATAATGAAATCTAATAACCCGATATTGTAAATATGTCCTTGAGATGGAGGTGGATTTAGTTTTAGTTAATTTCTGAATCCATGACTTATTGCTCAGAATAAGACAGGTTTTATTTCTCTTTTTAGTTTTTATAGTTTTAAGTTCTGAGAAACGTTCTCATAAATAAATATGTGGGAGAGGAAAGGGTTCCTCAGGCCTTCAAGATACATGCCAAAAATTGTTGTGGTCTATCATCAAGAATTATTTTTGATGATCTGTGAGCTGAATATTTAACTGGGTCCTGTCAGTTTTGTTGAAAGCAAAGCATGTGGAACAAGAGCTCACTGCAGGGTTTTCCAGGTGGGCATTAGAGGCGTGGCCATGTTTCAGACTGGCCCTGTGTCTGCACCTCAGGTGTGCATCTGAGTACAATAAGAGTGAGAGGTAATTTTTTAAAAAAGCAAAAAAAACCCAAACTGACTGGAGGTGCTCTCCCAGGGAGAATCATTTTTAGGAAATAGTACATTCTGGAAGGTGAGGATCTTGAAATTGAAATGCTGAGAACTATCCATACCCAGGAACCTCCTGGAAGTCTTGGGGTACCTAGGTCTATGTTTATTCCAGTTTGAAGCTGGTTGTCTGAGAACATTGCTTCCTTGATCTTAATAATCTTTAGGGAGAAAAGGTATATTTAATCAGAACTTTGCCGGATAGGCATGAATAAATTTTAATCAGTGTGTTTCCTATGGGACTTCTCAGACCTTTAATGTGCTAATGTCCATTAGGGAATTGCTGTCTACTCAGCAGAACTTACTTAGTTCCTCATGGAATGAGAGGGAACAGGAATGGGTATGTGTGTGGAGTCCTGGGCGATGCCAGTGTTCATGGAATACACTTTGGGAAATACGAAACACATACAAACCTTTTTGTCTGTTTTGAGAAGCATGAATTCGTCAACTAGTATGTGACCAAGTCAAAGGTCACCTAGGTTACTTTCGAGGTTCTCAGGGTTTGGTGGTGACTTTAGATGTCACCAAAGAACAAATAGAATAATTGAAAAAACACCACCTTTGAGTGAAGTGCAGTGGAGGAAGCGGAGTCTTTTGTGCCCTGATTGGGGGGGGGTGCTGAACAGCCATGTGGCTGTGACAGTGGGCTAGGTTTTCACATGTGCTGTTGGTTATGCGAATTGTCATGGGTAAAGGTGATGCTTCCCCAGAATTGTGTCTTGGAGAGTGAAGTCAAGAATGACATTCTTTTCAGGTAATATTGCCGTGTGTTTCAAGTGCTCCTTGTGGCACTCTGACCTCCACAAGGAACAGACTCTCAAATTTCCTGCGGCCATAAGTGCCGAGGGCTAGAAGATTAATGACTGAGAAGTCTCAGTGAGTGTGCCCCTCCATATAGGCTGTTGGCTACTGGTGAACAGACAGTGCTACCTCTAGGAAGGTGCCCTGTTAGGGCTCAGTTTTCTCCTGTGATCATTTTCCTTCAAAACAAAACGCCGGGCCTTGTGGTCATGGTTTCTGCACTCTCCCAGTGGAACCTAGAAGTGGCCCACCCAAAGTCCCTCTACTGTGTTTGCCTTTTCTTTCCAGAGCAGCACTAACATTTTGGGATGGTATTGATAAGTATAGCAGTTACAAAAGCCTAGATTTGTCATGTAGGAATCCATTGGAATGGAATGAGTAAAAATACTAAGCTGTTTTTCAGGAAACGCTACTTTAGGAACCTTATTGACTGCATAATTTGTGACATCTCGATCTATTCTCTATAAAGGTTTAAATATCCCTTTCCTGTATTATCCCGTTGTGCAAACTGAGAATCCCAGCAATGAGCAAGGTTGATTCTCTATTTAAAAAAATCCCCATCTTCACTTTATTCTTTGCCCAGTAAATTGTTTTTTATTACTTTAAATGTGGTTTCTGCTTGGGGCCACCTCCCTTTCTTAGTGCCCATCATTGGGAGCTGACTGTATTGAATTACTCTTATGCACTCTTACAATGAATGTTGTTGTTTTAAGGTCTTCTTTTTCTTTGTGATTCTTTTGTTCCCTAGCGTCGTCCCCCAGACTACAGTAATACTCAACAGTGATCGGCAGAACGCCATTGTAGCCAAGATGGAAGACCCCTTGAGCAACAGGGCACCGGATTCCCTGGAAAATATCATTAGCAAGTCAGTAGCCACAACACCATACCCCACCTTTCACTGCCACTGTGATGAGTCCCCTTGAGGACAAATCAGCATTCTGAGCCGGGCGCAGTTGGGCATTTCTGTCCTCACAAGGGTTGAGCCCAATAGGCACTGCCCATAGTTCTTTGCGGTGGGGGGGCTGTGCCATACTTCTGACCGAGGTCCCGTCGGATGAGCTGGATAAGAGTGAGAGGCTGAAGGAGAGACAGCATTTGGGACTGCCGTGTCCAGTGTAGTGTGTGGAATCGGGACATTATGACATGTTTTCACGACAGTCAGTCAAGCCCTTGTCCTCTTATCTTCTCACAGCTTACTCACATCTGTCTGTCCAGTACCATGCCAAGTCAACAGACATCCTCATGTAAATTTGCTAAGTGGTGGAGACATTTTGAGGTGATGGCTTTTTTCTCACACCTTTTTCTTTTGAGACATTTTGAATGTAACCTTTGTCAGAGATGGGAGTGTATAAAAGGCATTTTTGCCACCCTTGTCTAATGATGAAGTGAGCTCCATGTGGCCTTGCCTGGTGGTTGGGGCTTAGCTTTTCCAGATAACCTGCCTCCAGGAGGGCTCTTTTGCTTTTTGTTTCCTGCCTTTGTCTTCATAGTGTTCTGTTTTGCCTTTTCTCTCAGTCTCTTTGCAGATTGTTCCTCTTCCAGCTGTGTCCTGTTTTCTTTGTTGTCATAGCCTAGGTCTCTGGGAGCCCAGCTGTGCTGCTGTGGGCCTGCCTGCTGGGGTGCAGGGAGACCAGGTGAAGTCTGGGTGTCTGGATGCTCAGAGGCTGAGAAGGTCTGGCCGGTGGAGAAGAGGCAGGGTCAGGTGTGCCTCTCGAGGGCTTGGGTGGAGGTCATCCCTCAGAGTCTGAGCCTTTAGGAGCCAGATCAGCCTGCACAGGCCTCTGTGGAATCAAGAAAGTGTAGCTCCCTTCTCCGGGTAGGGCCAGGATCTAAAACAGTTTGATGTGTAAACAGGGAAACTGTGCTTCTCTCCCCTTTCTCAGTGCTTAGCAGTTCACGTGAGGGGACGTTGAAAGGGTCATTAAAAAGGCAGGTAGCATGTCTCAAGATAATCTCTTTTTTTTTTGAGTACTTTTTTGGAGCTGGACTGTGCCCTGTTTTTCTGAAAATATCTCGGTTCTCCGTACAGGACCCCGGTGGTGGTGAGAATTTTCATCAGAGATACTTGACTGGCTTTTTAAACCCACTTCAGTGGTTTTTGTCAGTGGGAAGCATTGGGAGTGATAATTGCATTTTTCAAAGGCTGAGGTGTTTCTAGAATGTCTATAACAGTATGGAGTGGATTGGCTCAATGGACGTCTCTAGCCATACTTCCTCCTAATTTAGTTTTCCCTTTGACACACCCTTAAAAGTTACTCTTACATGAATGCCAGCATTTTGTAGGAATACCTTTGTGATCAGGAAACAGCATTTAGGCCTTGAGTCACAGAAAGCTGTGATTTTACTTTATGACATAAACACTTTTTTAAATTTCTAAGATGGTACATAGTTTCTTCTAACCCAGACTATTTCCTGGTATTAAATTGCTTTTAATCTTGGTAGAAGGAGCTGCATGGGAAGACTTGGGCCCACTGCTCTGTGCAAAGTTAGTCTCTGACAAGGGAAGGAAAGAGGAACACGCAGCGACTCAGTGCTAGTCTCTGCTTATCAGTGGTGCTGCTCTCACAACACTGGTGGTGTTTTTGTTTCCCGCTCAGTGCGGTTCCCGGGCGTCGGCAGAACACCATTGTGGTGAAGGTGCCAGGGCAAGAAGACAGCCACAACGAGGACGGGGAGAGCGGGTCCGAGGCCAGTGACTCCGTTTCCACCTGTGGACAGTCGGGAAGTCAGAACATCGGGAACAACGTCACTCTCATCACCCTGAACTCAGAAGGTGCGCCCCCAGAGCCTTTCCTTTGCCTGAATAGCATTAGGCACACACACCTCTTTTTAAAAAAGTAATATATGTTTATTGTTTTTAGAAAGCAATAGAATATAAAAATGATGAAGAAAGTGGAAATAACCTGGAAAATTCTATGTCTAGAGATGTCTCTACATTTCCTGGGCTTTTTCTATGTTAATCTACAAACTAATTTGTGATTTTATAACTTGCTTTTTTCCTTTGCATAGTAGAAATCTTTTCACATTAGTACAGATTTACATAATTATTTTCAGTCAGTTTTGCTTATTTAATCAAGTTCTGGATGCTTTCTAGTGATGAACAGTTGTCATTTTTGTAACTAGTGGTATAATTAGTAGTTGGCTCATTGCCTTGGGCAATAGGTCTGTTTATGTCTCTGATGAGGGCCTAAGGTAGACTCTCAGGGGGGATTGCACGTTCAAGTCGGGTCCATTTCGTGAGCTGTGAGACTTAGAGGGAGCTGTGTGGGGTGGCCGTTAGCCTTTAAGTGACCCTGTTTTACCCACGCTGGGCGTTATGTTCCTCCTTCCTCTTTCCTTCCAAGGCCTGAAGGTGCACTCCCATCCCTGAAGGGCTGGCTCGGTGTGCCCTTCAAAGTATTCCTGCCACCTGGTACCTTTGTCATGCCTTTGAGGACTAACTTAATGCTTCCCAGATAGGACTTACTACAGCATGGAGAGAAAGGAGAGAACACAGACAAATCTAGCATTGTTACTGAGTTCAGAAGTTTATAATTTGTTTAATACTAAGAACTCGTTTTCCGCTTCTACATCTGAGTCATTGATTTTCCCTAAAAACATGAGGTAGATTTTTCTACTGAACAAAAATTTTCCTGTTAGAAAGACTTGTTACCATATCTGAAACATTAAAAACAATGTTTTTCTCAAAATTTCTCTAACAAATTACTAGGAGTGGGATTGCAGAGTAGGGGGGAGAGAAGAGAACAAGGGGGAACCTTTTTTGACAAGTGAGCTCTAATTTACATACCAGAAAATTCACCATTTTAAATCATACATTTAAAGCGGTTTTTAATTTATACACAAAGTTATGCAACCATCACCACTGTCTAATTCCAGGATATTGTCATCACCCCTAAAAGAAACCCCATAGTAGTCACTCCCAGTTCTCTCTCTTCCCAGCCCCTGGCAACTACTAATCTTCTTTCTGTCTTCGTGGATATGCCTATTATGGACATTTCTTATAAATGAAATCATATAATGTCATCCATGCTGTCGCAGGCATCAATGTATCATTCCTTTTTATGGCTGAATAATATTCTACCATATGGATAAGACTGCATTTTGTTTGTCCATTCATCTGTTGATGGACACTTGGTTGTTTCCACTTTTTGACTGTTATGCATAGTGCCACTGTGAACATTTGTGTACAAGTTTTTGTGTGGCTGTATGTTTTCATTTTTCTTGGGTTGATTGGTACCCAGTCAACCCAAGAAATTGGAGTGAAATTGCTGGGTCAGGGTAACTAGTTTTTCACACATTACATTTGAGGGAAAGAGGGCTACTGCTGATTTTATCCTCAAGGATATTGAATGAAATCACATTTGCAACAATTGCAGGGAAAACTTCTTACTCTTTTTCCATGTGGATTTTGGGTAAATACTCACCAGGTCTAGCAACCTACTTTAGGCCTAACATTTGTTTGGTTTAAACTGCATCAGCTAAGGAACATAACATTTGATAATTTGGGGAGAGTCTAGGGTTATTATAAAAGTAAAAAATTTCATTTTTTATATTTGTTTCTTAATGTGATATGATTAATGTGAAATACATTTCAGTGGGGGGGAACCACAGACTGAAACTAAAATGAACATACAAAAAGGAATCAAAATTTGAGCTTATTAATATTATTAATATCTGTAAGAAAAAATATGGATTTTTTTGTATCTAAGTTCTTTAAATATGAAGTGATACGCTTTGTGTAAAACATTTTTCTTTAACAAAGTCTTTGAGCAAAGCTTTATAACCACATTTAAAACTAATTGTTTCCATCAAGTGTGACTTTGATGTACAATACAGGTTGTTAGGATTGGGGCAAATTAGAGAAATCTTTCTGATTTTAAATTTCATTTTTATTTTGAAGAAGAGGTTATAAGTCAGGACCATCCTGTTTTATCATTCCATTAGGCAGAAACATTTTGTAATATGTTTCACTGACACTGTCCTTGGGAATGTTTCCCCCAGCAGTTTCAGTGTTACGAGAACTTGGACTGAGCAAGTCTTAGTTGGCACAGTTGTTTAGGGAAGGTGATACAGAGACGGATGGATGGAGTCATCTTTAAGTGACTGCCGCATATGTGATGTTGGAGGAAGAGCTAATCCATTAATGTCTCCTGTATCAGATTTACTACCGACCTGTAGTGGTATCACCTGTTAAATATTTCTGTGAGATTTATGAATGCACTGAGAATCAGATTAGCTGTCTCCCACCGTGTCCTCCCTTAAGACTAGAGCAACTTGCTCAGCTGGAGAGACTGTCAAGTCACCTAGTTTATATTAGAGAAACATTATTAATGTGCTAAGGGGCCATAGGCTTGTCTTTAGATTGAACCATTTTAGTTCCTAATGAGAGCCCAGAGCTGTAACAATACAGATTTTTCTTATCTTCTCATAAAAATATTTAAGTGCCTAAAGTTTTAGAGACCCACAGGTATCAAAATAGTTACTTCTGAAGAATTCCAAGTGGTTTGCACAAATTGGCATGCTGTTTTATATCAAATTTGGAGTTATTTTATTTATACTGCAAAGGTACTGTATCATTTTATCCCAGTATTTTGTTTAGGCAATCCCATCTGTCCGGGCATGAACTCCATTAGAATAAGAAAGAAGTGTTAACTGTTGAGAGCAGTGAACAGTAAACTTATTTCCTAGTTCTTACTCCTGTCTTCTCTTGGAAGTTTTGGTCTTGGTGTGCTTCTACTTGTGTTGCAGGGAAAGTGTGTTGGGTATAACCCTTCAGAGATTAAGCTGGCTAATTGAGTTAGAGAAACAAATGGGCAGCATGGACCAAAAATGGGATCTGTTGATTAATGAAGGGATTTAGTTAGATTCTTAATGAAGAGTTTAAATCCCTGCTGTGTATGCATTTGGTAATTCTTAGAAAACCTGACTAATCCTGTGTATAAAATGTTGGGTACTTAATTTTAGTAGGAGGGTTGTACTTCAGGTTTAAATTTAATCGTATCAGAGATTTGCCTCATGAATGTCCTGAAGCCCAGTCAGCAAGCTGACTTACATGGTAAATATCTGTGATGTGCTCAGTGGGGAGTGACGAAGTGTAGTCTGGGCGAATCAGTTCCTTTGTGAGGGGTGGTCGGTCACAGTAATGGGAAGCCAAGACCTGTTCTCCGAAATTTCATGGTGCCTGTGGCTATGAAATAAGATCAGTACAAATTGCTGTGTTCACAAAACATTAGCCGTACATATGTAAAGAGGGAAATTTAGCCAAAAACATTTCTTGAGAATATATTTCCATAATTTATTTTACATAAATTTTTTTTGCATAAATTTTGTGTGTGATAACATTAAAACATTTTATTAGCGATCATAAATTGGCTGCTAAGTAAAGGGTTATAGACAGGTTAGTGACCAAAATGTAATCAAATTAATAAAGAGGAACTGGTATGAGAATGTCAGTGGATGTGTGAGCGTGGCTGTGCACTGAATGCTGCACTTGTCCTAGATTAGAGAAAAGGGGCCAAAGGGCGATCTAGAATAGTGCTGGGAGGGTAACATCATTTCAGCCTCTCATGCTGTTTCAGAATGCACAGCATGTGATACTGATTAGGGTCATCCTGCCTGTGCCCAGTGGTTCCCACTCCTTTATGCCAAAGGGTGCTCTTCAACACTTGGTTTAGTTATGGTCGGGCTCAGGACAATATCCGTGGTAAGCAGGCAGGAGTTCAGTGGGAAAGAAGCCCATCTGGCCCTGCCATGCAGTCCAGAATTTGACATCTGGGACAGGGGGTATCCAGGCCTGAGTAGGTGACCTTGGCCCTTGGTCAATGGTGTGATCATGCTGTTTCTGTGGAAGTGTGCTCATGTCGGCGGGAAAAGAATTGACTCCAGTACCAAAAGCTATTTGTTTTTTCCCTTTTCCTGTATCATTATTCTGTATGTAAGTCAACCCTGTTGAATTGCCAGTTTAAAAACCCCAAATTATCACTCTGTGTACAGTTTAAAGATGTCGCATCACTCTCCAATAAGCATGTGTGTTTGGGCCACAGGTACAAAGTTAACTGTGTCTAAAATCAGAAAACGGCTGTTAGTTTTTATGGGTTTGCCAGAAGGGGTAGAGTGTTATCGACAGTCACTGGAGGTATCACACATGATGAGGTTCACAGTCCGGATGTAAACACCTTTATTTATAAGGGCTCCGTAATTGGTGCCAGATTCTAAGTACTGTGTGATCCAGAGCTGGGAGGACTGGCCCAGCAGGACACCTTTGAAAAGCCTTGTTTGGCTCATTCCCAGTCCTGTCCCTCCCCAGCCTGTGGGGTCCCCTGGTCCCCTTCTCTTTTCATCATTCTGGTCCCTTTCCCCTTCCCACGTGTTCCGCTGTTACATGACTGGGATGAAGATTTTTTTGAAGCATCTGTATATGACATAATAGAAATTTAGCTGGCAGATGGCCAGAGCTCACATGTGAAAAGTGTAGCTTTATTTTTACATAAATAAAAATAGCCCCTGGGATCCTGGAATACCCCAACACAGGATTCTTTATGGGACAGGTAATTGTAAGTAGTATAACAATAAAATGTTTCATGTATTACACATAGGATTCTTAACTTCTACCTTGGGTGGAAGAAATTATTTATTTTCCGTTACAGTGAATGCACGTCCTGGCTCTGGAAACACTTTGAGCCATGATGTATGTAGACGGTAATGCAGCCTGAGAGGTTTCAGGACACTGGCCTGAGATTTCCTGCTCGGCGAATTCTATGTGGATTTATTCTG